AACACATTCAGGACCTAGTCTGATTATAATATGTATCTATACAAGATGAATTTGTCCATTTCTGCAATTGTTACTGTTCATATATTGTTTCTTAATTTTATTACGTTAATGATTTTTCATTTTAAACAGATATGAAGACTACCGTCGATTTTCAATGTCCAACCCCATAAATTGTTTCAAACGCGTCTGTAACGTACAGATTGGACAATCTATGTGGTTCAGCCTGTATATAATACAATAAATTGACAGTATAACGTACAAATATTAAAATTATAGAAATGACAATGAATAAAAGTTAGAATTGGTTTCTGCGATTGCAGTGTCTTGTGCTGCCAGTGAAATCACCAGTTCAGCTCTACATACTACGGATAGTCAAAACTTTAATATTAAATTGAAAAATTACTTGGTCCCGTTTGTGCCCCTTCAAAATGAAATAATATCTTATTTTACAAATGAAACTGTCACTTCTGCTTACCGAGTAACATACGAAAATTCTCTGTTCCTTATTAGTTATTCTCTTTCGAATTTTGACTGGCACTGAATGTGTCTGATATATATATATGTTCCTTACTCGTGACCAATTCCCCACGAATGATTAACTTTCCGTTCTGTACTCCGGCAATTTTCACGCTACCAAAAACGTAACGTTTTTCGTGTTCGCGTTCGAATTTTCGTTTAAAGAAGAACAATGCAGAGAGAAGGATCTCTTAAGGGAGCGCAAAGAAGACGTCTGTTTGCGATCTTTGTTTCGTTCCACGACTGAAAAAATGATAACTGGATCCACCTTGCGCGATGAAACAAAGATGATCTATCCGAGGGAGGGAAATGTTGATCGTGATCGAAGAAAGCCATGGAAGAAGCATTCGAGACTTACCGTCGTACATGATGGGAACGCCAGTCTCGTAATAAACGAGAGCCGGGAACGAGAATACGCCGATCTCAGCGGCTAATTTAGCGTCATTCGACTTTACGAATTGTATACCGTGTTTGTCGGTGTCGTCGTCAATGGTTTCTAGCTCCTCCAAGATTTCCGGGCACGACTCGCATTTATCGTCGTCTGTTAAAAGAAGAGACATCGACATAATACAGTTTCCCTGAAAATATTTCAATCTCCGTGGCGTTCGCGACATACTCTATAATTTTCAAACTTAAACATTGACATAAACTATAGATATACAGAGCGAGTCACTGAGAACAATACTGTTTAAAATAACTCGTTACCTATTGTCGTTACCAAACAACGTTTTAATCAATTATGTAGCATTTTAAGGGCCACAGGATGGATACAATTTGATTTTTTTTAATCTTATGTTTTTAAGATACCAGGGTGATCTTGAGTCTTTTCGGGGTCAATGCGTCTTTCTTTTTTTAATATCACGGCGTTGTCGATGGAAGAACGAATTCAGCAACCTATAGAATAATATTAACAAAAACATACATTGACCTTTAAAAGATCACCTTGAAATCTCAAAAAGCATAGGTTATAAAAGAATGAAATTATAACCATCCGATGCATCCTTTAAAATGCTATATAATTCATTAAAACGGTTTTTGGTACAACCAATAGGTATCGAGCTGTTTCAGATAGTATTTCGTACTGACTCACCAAAATTAACCAAATTTCCATAGCAAAATAAACTTACAAAAGAATACAGCAAGATGTTCGACATCGTTGATGAGCACTTGCAGTGTTTTCCTGTCCACGCTTTCGATCACATCCGGGGTTTGGGTTCGCAGCTCTAGGATCCATTCCAATATGGCCTCCTCGTGCATCATGTCGCCTGCGTACACTTGCCTGAACTTGTGTCTGTACAACGCCAACGCTGGCAGACCAGGAAGATCGTATTCCTTCTCTATACCGTCGTCCGAGATCTTCACGAAATCGATATCCTTCTCCTCGCACTCGTCGTCGATATTCTCGAGCTCTTGCAGGATCTTTTGGCTCTTCTTGTCACCTTCTTTGTCTGCAATCGAAACGATTATAACAGACGTGCTGTATTCATTAAACTGGTATGATTTTGATACTGGTATTATGCCATCAAAGCTATACAAAAACCGATTTATTACTGAAAACAGAAATAAATCCCGGTATTTTTTCGGTTTCTGTGATGGTAAGGCTTATATAGGGTTGTATATGGTGAAGGTTCAACCATTAATGGTATAATACCGGTATTTTACGTTTCGGTAGAAGTCCCTGATTCAGGGTGTAACAAAAGTGCTGTAGGTCCCTGAAATGGGTCACTCGTGAGGCGATTTGGGACAAGTGTTTCCCTAGCAAAAATGTTATCCGAGGCTTTGTTACAATTTTGTTACACTCCGTAGACAATCCACTGAAGACTGTGTGTATGTACTCACAGAAGAAGACAACGACATAGTCATTCTCCTCCAGTATACTTTCGAGCATCTTGCCGTTCACTTCCTCGATCTTTCCAGGGATCTCGAGAGTGTCCTCATCGGTGATCCACGACAGCACTTCGTCTTCGTCCTCGATGTCGCCCTTGAAGATCAATGGTTCCTTGTTCCTGAAGAAGGCCAGAGTGGGGAAGCTTTTGATTCCATGCTTCTTCGCGAATCCAGTATCCTCCGTGGTGACGAAGATGATGCCCGTCTCGTCCAGTTCGTCGTCGATGTTCTCGAGTTCTTCCAGGACTTTATCACACTCGTCTCCCTCCTCGCAATCCCCGCCTGTGAGTATTATCATGGAAATTAATAAATAAAAATGATTTCACTTCTATATGTATATAACCCTGTACAGTAATTCTTCGATTAGTGCCCGAAGCGATCTACAGAGTAAGCACCCGATGTTCATCCCCACCATTGAGTTTTATCATGGAAATTAATAAACAAAAATGATTTCATTTTTATATATAACCCTGTACAGTAATTCTTCGATTAATGCCCGAAGTGATCTACATCGTAAACACCCGGTGTTCATCCCCACCATTGAGGGAGAATTCTCTTTCACGCATCGTGAGGATCAGTCCCTCTTTTTTTTTTCACTCGCTGTCCTTTTCTCATTATAATCGAAAGTACCTCAAAAATGTAACGATCTAATTCCAATACTCATTGGAACCATTATTGTTAGGTTGTAAAGTGAAGATTATTTCGGATCGCCTACGTGTCTCGTTACGATCAAAAGGAATATATTACCCGAAGCGTTACACTTACTGAAGAACGCGACGACGTATTCGTGTTCCTCGATCAGATCGGACAATATCTCGTCCGTGACTTCTTCGATGGTGGCCGTATTTTTCTGCTCGATCAACCACTCGAGCACCTCGTCCTCGTTCAGTAGATCACCCTCGTAGATCGCCGGGATCTTGTTCTCGAAATAGACTAATGTCGGCAGATGATCGATACCGTACTCCTTCGCCTCGGCGTCGTTGTCCATCCGAATTATGACGATGCCCTCTTTCTCCAGCTCGTCATCGATGTTCTCCAGCTCGTTCAGGATACGTATGTCCTGTTTGTCGTCCTTGTCGTCTACGGAAATGAATCAATTCGTGTCTCGTTTTCGCCCGCGATCGACAAAACAGCACCTACCTAACCGGTTAACAGTGGAAGAATGTTAAAAGGAGGTAGAAAGACGAATCGATCGCTTACAAAACAGGACTGCCAAGTACGGCGAGGTCTCAATCAGCTTCTCCATCATCTCGTCTGTCACCTCCGGTATCTCAGTGTGCTTCTTCTGATGCAGCAGCCAGCCCAGCAGCTGATCCTCGTTCATCAGGTCGCCTGACAAAACCGATCAACTCTTCTGTTATTCGACTCGAAGTGTTTCTCTGTTACGCACACGATCTTTACTAGGCGCAATAAGCTACTATTAGGTACACCGAGCAAACTCGGCTTCCACTAGGGGAATAAGCGGCGTAGAAGAAAAGTCTTCTACCACTTGGTAAATTTATTCTAGGTAGTGAAATAAATGATAAATCGAATGTTAATTTCGCATACATTTCAGTAATTCCAAATATCAAGTGGTCGGAGGCTCTATCCCTACGGTATCTTTTCCCCTAGTGGAAGCTGAGTTTGTTCGTGGGTGTACACTCCTGTTCCTTAGTATTGGGACGATTATCGAATACACAGTAAATATTACAAGGCATTACGAAATTGCTAAAAGTCTGGAGTAAATATCGTTTAAGGGATATTAAAGCTTGATGAACAACGCTAATGGTAGTAAAAAATAATAAAAGTCGCCTAAAATAGCGTTTTTACGAAACGTCATATTTTCTTCGTAGAAAGACCTGATCTCCTAATGCTTGCGAGGGGTAGTGTATGTTGCTGTTTAATTTTAATTTTTCCGCATTACTTTATGGAAATCTACGGTCTACTTGTGAACAATGATGTATTCTTGGATAATTGTATCACAGTTTGGAAGACAATTACCTTCGTACACGTGCGGTATTCTTCTCTCGAAGAGTACCAGTGTCGGAAAACTGTCGATACCGTACTCCTTTCCTTCCTCCAGATCGGAGATCTTGACGAACGCTATGTTATGCTGATCACAATCGTCGTCGATGTTCTCCAGTTCGGCGAGGACCTTCTGACTCTTCTTCTGATCCTTATCGTCTGTTCCGAAAAGAATTACGCAATTAATCCAAATGGAATATGAACGGGCTCCAGACAGAGAGATCTCGAGGATATAGTTCATATGTTTCTTAATGAAAAAGTAATTTAATCACTGACAAAAGAGGACGGCTACGTGCGGCATCTTCTCGATGACCATGTCGAGCATCTCGTCGGTGATGTCCTCGATGTGATCGCTCTTCTGCTGTTGCTCCAGCCATTTCAGAACCTTCTCTTCGTCTTCCAGATTACCCTCGTACAACGTTGGTATTCCTTTCTCGAAATAGAGCATACTGGGCATCTTCTCGATACCGTATTCCTTGGCCTCGTCCGCGTTGTCGATCTTCACGAAGATCACCCCCAACTGATCGCACTCGTCATCGATGTTCTCCAGCTCGTTCAGAACCTTCTGAGACCTCCGGTCGTTGTTGTCGTCTGACGAATTTTCATTGGGACTCTTAATTGTGTTCTTCCGAGTTAAATAGTGAAATTGTATTAGATTGTTGTACATAGAATGGCGAATCTTTTGTTGATTCTTTGGACTGTATTAACTCATCGTTATTCCCCTGGACCCTTCGATTGGAATAGTTAAAGATAGGGAAAAACTGTTTTTTCTATATGTAACGTTTGATAAGTAAAAGTTAAGTAGTAGTTTCTAAATATTTTTAGAACACTTGAAGTTGTGTATTTGCAAACACAAAAACCCTCCGCGCCAGAAAAATGTTAATACCTCAGACCTGTATTAAAATGCATTTTAATATTCTAATTAACAAGATGCGCTAGTCTATCATCGACAACCTAATAAACAGATTCGAAAGAAAAATAGTTTACAGAACAGCACGGCAAGAGTCTTTCCATCCTTGATCAACCGATCCAGCATTTCGTCGGTAACGTCTTCGATCTCGTCTTTCTCCAACTGCGACAGCAACCATTCCAGGATCTCGTCTTCGTTCTCAACGTCTCCTGTGATCACACGATTTTATTTCATTCAATCAACTGCTCGTTATACAGGGAATTCTGTAAAATTGATCACACAATCGAAAAAGAAACGATTCCTACATATTATAGAAAAATAATTTGCAATGAACAGTACGAATAAAATTCTCTTTCCTTAAGAGAACATTATTCAGAAATTGCTGAGATCATTATTCTGCAGCTTACAGATTGATTAACCCGCTAACTATATTTTTCTCCTTTAGTGGACGTCTACTTTATCACTTTAGTGACACTATCTGGGACATTTCTTGCCGATCGGCAGTACGAAGTTTCTTTAAATAACATTCAAATATTAGAAAAACGATCGTACTCTATCTACTAGTCCGTTATTTATCGTGAGCATATTGTTTGCAGAACAAAATGTATTTTAAAAAATGTTTTAAATAGCCTCAAATCGGTTTTTAATATTATATAAAAGAATTCTTGCACAAGACACCAAAAAGATGTAGCGAGCGGGTTAAATGTTTCGATCACGATCCAGAATGATCTTCCGGATCATGCTACCAGTTACAAAAATCTCTGTATATAAAACCACCGGAATCTCCTTTCGAAACGTTCCCCAACTCAGCTCGACCCACCTACCCACCATCGTAAACATTTGGGATCTGCTTCTCGAAATAGACGATCGCGGGAACCGAATCGATCCCGAATTCCTTCGCCGCTTTCTCGTCGTCGATCTTCACGAACTGGATCCCGTGTTTATCACAGTCGTCGTCGATCTTCTCTAGTTCGTTCAACACCTGCATCGAATCCTCGTCACCGTGGTCGTCTAGAGGATGGACACGGAAGAGCAGAATCGAGGGGGAAAAAGGAAAAGAAACCGGAAAACGGTTACGTACAGAACAAAACGACCAGATTGTCGATATTTCCGATAAGGGTCTGCAAGGTCTTCGATGTGACGTCCTCGATCACGTCCTCCTCGTCTCCTGTGCTCTTGTTCGCTACCAGCCATTCTAGCACGTCCTCTTCTCTACTAAGCTCGTCTAGATAAATTTTTAGTCAATACCACGTGAGTGTCTCTTCGGTAAACGTGATTATCTTTTGGTTGAAATCGTCTGACTTTACAGACTCCTCTCGATTATCGTCTGGCTTTATCTACACGATTATTGTCCAGGCGTTATCCCCACCACTTGGGGGGCGTGGAACCTATCACACGCATACTTTGTTGCCCCTCTGCTTCGAGCAGAAAACGAATTTACGAGGGTCTGAAGCATTTCTCCCTATACGATTATTGTCACGGTGCGGACCCAAGCTCAAGACGATAATCGAGAGGAGACTGTAATGAGGAAATTGCGTTCTCAATAGAGGGAAGTTATATATAGTAAAGTTTCATACGTCCGAGGATTCGTAGTTACAAGACACACACGCACACACACTGTTTGCTGTGTTTTAGCAATGCTTACGCTCGTAAATGATAGGAATTTGATGCCTGTAGTAGACCAGAACGGGAAGAGGGCCCAGATTGTACTCGTCCGCGAGCTGCTCGTCCGCGATCTTCACGAAACCGATACCCAACTGGTCGGCCTCGTCGTCGATGTTCTCCAATTCTTGAAGGGCCTTCAGACACTTTTTGCAGTCTGGCTTGTCTGTCCCATTTGAAATAAAAAGCAGTGTTATTGGTCCGTGTCCTTTGCACGTGGAATCCCCGGAAGCTCGAGTTACACGGGCCGCGAATCGGCTTGACCTTTGGGTTCGGGTCGATTCTCCATCTTTCGGAATGACTATCTTGTCGCTTTCCATGCTTTCTTTTTTAATTCGCCAGATTACCTTAGTCTAGACGTTTTGCATGAAATGGAATCAGTATCAAAGAACGGGGTCACGGGGATATTGTATCAAGCTCGATGAATTTATCGTGACAATATTGGCGTAGTACGGAAAGGATTCGATTAATTGTCGATGTAGTCCGAAACACACTTCGGATTAGTATATAAAAAATTTCTCTCGTGTTACAAACGCACATTCATTCTATTCTAGGGGGTGGATGCATGGTCTACGATCTACGATCACGATACCCGTTTGAATACACACACGACGCGGAATTAATAGAAATAAACAGGGTCTTATTGTGTTTAATACTTTTAACGGAGGTGAATAATGAAACATCGTGTGATCTTTCTGATTTATTGTTCGTTGCAATACACCACGTTACCTTTGTGATCTTTCTATTAAACCGATTTACCAAAATGCCGGGCAAACGCGCATTTTTCATACAAAATTTCACGGGAATCCATCGTAAAATATATTGATTTCGCTCTTCTCGGCTTCGTTGTCACCGTTTTTCCCCCGTGGATTCTGAATCCATCTGTTATGGCGGATAAATAGAGGCAACTGGCTGCAAGCGATGCAATGTGCTCACGGTGTCGATTAAAGAACATTTGTTACGTGTAGTGGTATGGTAAATACGTGTAAGGAGACATACAGGCAGGAATTCACGAACGAATCACTTGGGTTCAAGAACAAAAGTATGATATACCTATGTTTCGAAAAATTCATACACAAAAATGAAACGAAAATTTTGTAAATGGTGAATTTAATCGATAGTGCAGAATTTGATTATTATTTATAGTACTTTTGTTCTTCTCCCAAGATTCGAGTTGGTGTGCGTACCAAGTGTTGAAAATGAAAGCTGTGCGAACATTTCGGAAGAACGAGTTCGTTTAAATGTGTACTTACTAGAACCGGTGCCAGCACACCGCTGCGTATCCGGACCTATCCGTATCAACACACACAAGAACGTTTCACATATATGTATTATTTACAAGTATTTCGCAAGTGATCGAACCGCAAAGTGGAATGTCCTCCTTAAAAAATCAAGAAAGTATTTGATCGGAATATATTTCACGATTTTATGGGCCCTCCTTTAATTGTCTTGGCTGTCCACTTTGCGATACGTTGATTCTTTTCTTCACAACGGACAAGAACAAATTGTTCGCAGACAATGGAAGAGAAACGACTGACAAAAGGATCGACGGGATTCATCGGTAGATGGACCAGACATTCACGGCGCTCTTCAAACGAAGGAAAATTTTGTAAAGATTATGATTCTTATCGAGACTTTTATAGATTTAGATACCAATTATCAGGTTACTTTTTTGGACAGATGGATGTGTCAATCATTTGAATTTGAAGTCAGATAATTGTTTGGAATGTTATGGGCGTTGTTCGATTGAGAATAGATGTATGAATAGAATTTATACTTATTCTATTTGCAATATTAACATTAAATGATTACCTACAATTCCTATAAAATGAAAATTTTCCTTTGTACTGACAGTTACGTAGAGCGTTAAGGCGGGATCGAAGGCGTGTACAATGTACGTAGTTTGTAATATTAACAATCAAAAGATCAAAATATCTACAAAATATGCTGTAATAAATTTCGATCATATACCAAAATTTCTTTTTAGATACCTATAACCAAAGAGTCGTTGTTAGTAATATTAAACCGTTCTTTCTGTAACATATTATTGCATCAATCGACGCTTATGTAAGTAGCGAGTATCAGTGAAAAATAAAACCAAAGAAATCGTATTTGTAAACCTGTTAATAAAACCGCGGCTCAGCTGCGAATTCCGTAAAGCTCGTGTTAATCCTCTGTACACTGTAACGTTTGTTAAATACTCGTTCGCCTTACACGAAATCCATTAGTCAGACAACAAAATAATAATTAAAATCTGTACTATGTACACGAATCGAATAAATGGTACTTCGATCTTTCGTGAATGGTAAACTATGTACATAGCTGGAATAAATAATTCGTCGGGTGATTAAACCAGAATTCCACGTGGACTGGTCTCTTGCTGTTCTCGCCAAGAAGAGTGTTCGTGTAAATTCAACTGAAATAAATCCTAGTGGCATTCATTGTTTAGTTTCATTTAAAAAAATGTATACGGTTCACGACGACATGTTTCTAAATTTTTACACTCTTCCTGACAAAAATCGAACTCGAGATAAGACAGTTATGGTTCTGTATATGTAATACGATCATATAAGAGAACTCACAGAAAAGGACTGCCACGAAATCCGTGTCCTCGACGATCTTCTCCAAGATCTTCGAGTTCACCTCTTCGATACGATCGGGCAGGTCCATTGCCTCGAGACTCGTCAGGAAGTCCAAGACATTTTCTTCGTCCATCAAGTCACCTGAAACACGTGTATATTTGGTTAACACTTTGACTTTCACGTCACCCAAACATGTGTGACACGTATATTGCAAAGACCCTGGATTATTTAAATACCGTTACAAAATTTCTGCGCAAAATTAATATCGCAAGATAATTTAAAATAAGACCAATAGCCTTTATTATGAATTAACTCTTATCCATTCCTCATTTTTTCAACTTAATGTCTACCTCGCTGTCAAACTGACACAGTGGTAAAAGATTAAAATAAGAAGATTAATATAATTTCTTAGGAGACAAATGTGTCAAGTTGAGACAAGGGTTGGATGAGGGTTAAAAGACCAAGTAAAACGTATTAAAACAGATTCTGACACCATTTGTACTTTCCATTTCTATTCATTAAGCAAATTACACTCTATTTAGAGCTAGATTCAAATTTTATTTAAATAATATATCGTATAAATACTCGCTAGACAATTTCATAATTTCAAACCACGAAACATTTAAAGAAAGAATAATTTACAATTACGTTGTTCCGTCGTTTTCTTCTTACACATCGTTAATTTTTCTTTACACGTCGAACCGATTTTTTTTCCATCGTTATCCACAAAGTAGGAATGGTATTGAGTTACCACTCCGCCCGTGTGGACTTAAAGAGTTAATAATATACCTCTAATTGCGACTTCCTGCCGCTTCTGTTTACCATCCCGAGGGGTCGAAAATAGACCTTCTATTGCGGCGCGTTGCATTAGGCTACAATGGAAATAGATGCAACCTGTCGTTACATCATCGAACGGAAAATCAGTCGAAACGTTCCCAGTGAAAAGACAATCGGCCGAGGAACGTTCGTATCCACCCGTAGACTTTCTCATTCCCAGCCTGTGTCTGCGTAGTCGGACGAGGGAGGGTGCCCTGTCGTGATATTCCGTGGATCGAGTTTAATAAATCTACACGATCGCGTTGCCAAACGCGGGCTTTGCTGACCACAATGTAGCACGATTGATGATCACACCTGTACCACGGTCTGTTTCCGCGTTGGGTGGCCAACCGCGTCCAATTTCTGACCTTCTTTCCCGGAACGTGTGCACGAACGTGTTCCATTAACACACACAAACACACACATGCCACAATCGGGACTTTTTTTTGTCGAAAATCTAACGAGTAAGATTTTACGAGAAGTATCGAAGATGCTTCAGCGAAAATTTGATCAAAGAATGAATTTAATTACACCTTAGCTGTTAATAAAAATTTGTTTCGAGTTAGTGTACTGTTACACCACTGGAAATACATTGATGTTCCATATGAAATCCTCTCGATTTCGATCGAAAATAAAATATCTGCAAATATATCGGTAAATTAAATTTTCGATTCTTCCGTCACGAGTTTCGTAATTCAGGGACTTAAACCGGTATGATTTTGATACTGGTATTATGACATCAAAGATATACCGAAACCGATATATTACCGAAAACCGGAATAAATACCGGTATTTTTTCGGTTTCTATAAGGGTAGGGCTTATATAGGGTTATATAAGGCGAAGGTACAATCGAAAATACCGGTATAATACCGGTATTTTAGATTTCGGTATAAGTCCCTGGTTTCGTTATCATCGTTCGACGGTGGGCACATTGTGGCAGAACGATCCTCGCATCCAACCGGATCAAAGCGTCTCCCGGTCTAAATGTAGATAGCCAGACAGCCAGCGGCTCAATGAAACCGTGAGATACAGCACACGGCGCATCGCCGCGCGTCCCGTCATTACGTAACATGTGCATTCCTTGTACTCTATTAATTTCTCCTCGGCCACGAGGCAGCACGCGTCATCGTCGTTATCGGCTCCAGAATGTATTTATTTTACTGAATAATTCCTATTAGAATACAAGAGAAAAAAAATGTAAACATATTCATATGGAATATAAATCGGACGAATAATAAAACTTAATGAAACATATAACTGGAAAATACGAAAGGGAAAAACTAAATGGTAATTACAAGACACTGTGACCTTGGTTTTTGAAAGATTAGGTAGAACCAAAAAGAAAGTCCAGATCTTTACCAGAGTTGGGCAGAATCCTATCCGAATAATACATAGTGAAAAGTAATAGTATCTAAGATCGTCATCTTGACCTTTAAGCAGTTAATGAGACGAAGTAATTGTTTGCCAATGTCTACTAGTTCCAAGAAGAAATATTATGTTATTCCAAATATTGAAATATCCACGTTAAATCGATTGAAAAAGACGGAACACTTTTTTTTGGATCTTTTATTCGATATTCGAAACTCTTTATCTAGATAATGAGTTTGCCCATCTCTGATCTTTACAGAAAGAAAATTCGCTGTTTCACGAATCCGATAAATGGGATCAGAGAGACAGAAAAGTTTGAGATGTATCTTTGTAACAGACAGAGTTGCAAAGGTCTCAGCAACTTTGTACGTGCAGACAAGCTGATAAGACCAAGAAGCTGAGGAATCATATCAATAAAATTCAATCAATAGTCGTTGGGCGGTATCGAATGGGGGTTGTTTGTAACCGAACAAAACTCGCGAGCATACGGTCGCCGCTTGTTTCACAGGCGAAACGCGACCGAATACCAAAGCCCCTGGGACCGATGCCAGATAACGAAGGTGGTCTCATACCTAGAGGTGTGACCGCTTGCGAGAATCTACGATTCTTTGATCGATTAACCGCCGACTTTTCCGTCCGACGCACGTTCAGAAACACGTCAAATTTTTATAATTATTAACGAACTATCGAGGGTAGTTTCATCCTCTATAAATATCAGATTACACCATTTTTTTTCAAATTTTGTAATAGAGTTTCTTTTGTCATCGAACGACTCGAAGTCAATTGTTTATCGATGATATTCGGGGGATTTTTCGTGGGTTCACGTGTACGGTACCATTTTATAATCAATTATCGTAGATAGATTTTAACATGATGATTCATGGTAGTGACGGATGCTTTTTATCGTGATCACAAGAATGTGAGAAATTCTGAAGATTCGAGAATATCGCCGATTGTTATATGGATTCTAGGTCAAGTACTATACCGAACCGCCGCAGTCTCGAACCTTGTTTCTCATACCTGGCAAGGTTACCGAGATCGCGGCCGGATTCCAATAAAAGTTTGGCGAACTTTCAGCCATTTGGAATCATTACTACCCCGGTCTTTGTTCGTCATACGTGCAGACGCGATGTAAATATCGGGCTACCGCGGAATGTTTCTTTGCCTCCGCTTGTTTGCGAATTGCATCGAAACGACAATACTCTGCGTAAGGTTTCACCTGAGCGATCGTGTAGATTTTTCCTACGTAACGAATAACAATTTTTTCTTTGGATACATTGTGGTAGTTTTGAATTTTTTTATTTTTCGTGTATCGTTAAACTTGAGTTTTTCCATCACCAAAATTCAGACCCTGGGAAGAACGTTTCGTATGCGTGTGACCAAACTAATGATTGTTTATACAGGTATAATCTGCTCTGTTAATTGATTACAGTAAATTCTCGATAACTGCTCGGAAGGATCTCTACTTAAAATACTTTTGCACCATTCCCATTACTTCCACACACAAAGATCGATCCGAAATGCTGTTCATCGGGTGACAATTCATGAAGAGGAGAAATCGTGTCCCTCTGCGATAACTGCTCAAAAACGGTCCCGAGTTTCGAGCGTTACTCGAAGATTTACTGTATTCGATATGGCGTCGGACGAATTGAACGTGGTATATATTGGATGTACCAATAAATAATCCACTGTTTCTTTTTAATAAACTTGTGACAGACGTTAAAATTTAAAGCATCCTTCTATCCACGTGTTCATTCAAAATGGCGGCGAACATCGACGGGCGAGAACAAATGTCACTGGAATAGGCTTCTGATTTTCTTGAAAACAAGTGTTGAATTCGATAGAATATAACGGATTATTTATTGGTACAGATGATATTCCTGTAAACGGTCACGTATAGTGGAGAGACAAACCTTCGTAAATGATCGGCTCCTTTTCACGGAAATACGTGAGTGCTGGGAAGTTTTTGATACCATACTGCTTGGCCAGTCGTTTGTCGTTGATCTTGACGAAATCGACCCCGAAGTGGTCCGTGTCGTCGTCGATCTTCTCCAGTTCGGCCAGCACCTTGTCGCATGTCGTGCAGCTTCTTGCGTCTGTAACCATATATCCACTGGGTCATTATTAAGTAAAAAATGATTCAATTCGTTTGCATTGAAAAGACGGTCTAGGTTGTTGTAATCGATAAATGACTAGTTTTAGCGTTGAAGTTCTCATGATTCCATTCGATAGCTTGCTTCGATACGAGTGATTTTAGCTGTCTCATAATCGAAGGAATAGTATGATAGTAATTCGACTGATCCAACAATCAGGAATGTATTGAGTTATTAAAGATACTCCAATGAAAATTCTATTCTAAACATTATTATTCGAAAAAAAGTGTGAGGTATTATAACTGATATAAAAACGGAATACTATTTAAAAAATTACAGTTAAAGATATACGAGGACAGACTGTCCTAGCTGCACCAATACGAATGTCTGCTCATGAACGTTCACATTCTACTTGCAGGATAACTTATTCAATCAGGGACCTCGATATATCATTGAAAAACTGACAGAATGACATGAAATCATGGGCATAGCCAGGTTATCAGTCAGGGGGGTGGGGGCAAAAATATTAACACATCGACTGCCACAGTGAAAAAAGCTATACGTAGCCAGACACGCTTTATTTTGTTCTTAAAGTCATAAATCGTTGAGAATGTATGCGTTTGGTTAGTAGAAGCTATTGGTCGTGTTTCAAATTATACTGCAATATTAAATATTACGCACAATTTTTGTAACTCTGGAAAGAGAGGGGTGTCAAAATCTAATTTTTTCTTGTAGGGTGGGGCAAAAGCCACTTTTTTCCGTCCAGGGTGGAGGGCAAGTGCACGAAATCCAGTCTTACTCATTCCTATCGATAATCGAACTAAAGTATTGAAAATATTGGAACTATCTTCGGTCCGAAAGCATTCAAAATGGATCCTATTTATAGAAAATATGTTCAAAGTCGACAATCATTCCTGCATAAGACTCGAATATTAAAACTATTCTATTGAAACGAGAGCTCTTAAACACAAATTTACAATTCAATCGTCCAACTTCGAAATTTCAGTCACCCGCAAATTCCAACGACATCGAGAGCCTTTGAAACGTTCTAGGATGTCGGGATTAGGTGGGGTGGGTTAACGATCATTTTTCACGATCGCAAAAGAATCCTTGGTAACCGGCCTTGCGTTACAAGACGCGGGAAAACTAATCCTTCGCGGGCGAGTTTTATGCTTATCGTCGTCGGGCTTGGCAGTTCCGAGCGTTCTTGGCCGGCTGCGCTTCGTTCCGCTCGCCGGTCCTCGGTCGGACCAGCCACGCGGGTATTGGGTTACAATCATTGGATATGGACAGGCGGAGGAGTCGTTCCACGAAACGTTTTCTTCATCGATCCACAAGCAATTCCGACCGCTCGGACCATTCCTAATGTCGATTCGATGCGCCATTTATAAGATCGACAATCTAAAAACGAAAGACGAGAGAAACGCGAAGCGTAACAGGTGGACGTCGCCATTTTTGGTGACGACATCCCCGGAATAGAGTCGCAGTGAAGCGCTCTCGACTGTTCTCTCTCCCTTCTTCATTCCTGAACTCTCTTTTCCCTCGTTTTTCGTTCTGTTTCTTTTTACGTACTCCATTCTGGTGCCTGTACACGAGTTCTATTTCCGTGACCGTTCTTTCGAACGGTACACCTTCGACGCGGTGAAATCACGCTTGTCATTGTGTTGCTCTAAATACGTTTTATACTGCTGTTCGATCGGTTGCTGATTCGTTTGGATCGTCGGCTTTCTATCGACTAGTTTATAGACATTTTGTTTGTCGATGGTATTTTCCGGTTGTTGGGTGGATCCGTGGTGTAATAACACGAGGCACGCATACACCCCCGCGAGGAGTTTTGGCGGAGCAGGAGAGAAAGACGCGCTCTTGATGGAGGTGTGGAGGGACAGAGATAGTGGACAGAGAGGTGGGGGTGGTCGTTGAGAAACGTGTGCCAGTTAAATTGAACCGACTCCGCTGGCCGCGGATCGTAACAGTGGAAAGTCGAGAGAAATTGCGCGATAATCTCGTCGCTGACTTAGGCGGACAAACGATTGCTTTCGGGTTGGAGAATAACTGAGATCGAGCTAGATTAACGTAAATATTTTATTATTTAGTAAACGATCTGTTTGACGGTCTGTTTGGTTTGCAAGAATTTTAAATGGGTTCTCCAAACGGACGAACGTGAACTGATATTTCTCTCATGTTTTTTTTTTTCGTTTCAACGGTAACTTGTCGCGATAGCCACAGTTTTTCAAGGTTTCGTCGGGATATGCCTCGGTTCAAGGAATAGGATAAAAGTTCTGGTATTCTATTTATTTAACGTGTAACCTAAATAACCAACCGAAGATTCACCGGGTACGAAAACGATCCCAAACTGATCTTCCCGGTGGACGCCGGAGACTCGCAAACAAATATAAATAGAGCGACACAAAACAATTCTATTTTTATTTCCTATCGTGTCCACCCACCAACCGTTCCGCTCCTAAATGGATCGTCGGATCGAGAACGAAAAATATGAGATACCGCTGAATCTCGATTTCATGTCCTATACCATATTTCAGGCGAATAATCATCTGTCCGTTTCTTTTTGTCTACGGAGTTTGAATATCAATTTTCGGGGTTAAAATAATCCCCCTAGTGAAGATACTTCTCTATAATAAATTGACGTGATTGATGATAATCTTCGATACTCAATCTGTTATTATATTCTGTACGGGGATGTATTTTTACATTCTTCACTTGTACACTTAAAGAACGTGTATCATTTTTTTGTACGTATTATTCTGAACTTTTATTCCGGAAGTTTAGACTAACAGAATATATTAAGAGTAGAATACACTGCGTGGAATTATTAGGAAGCCACCACAAAAATTTCAATTCTTATATACTGTGGTTAAAAGAAAAACGAACCAAGTATGCCATGTCTGAAATCGTGTTGGCAAATAATGTTTCCCCAGAAAAAGATAGATTATAGTACATAGAAAAAGTGGTTCGTTATTTTAACCATAATACATAAGGATTTAAAATTTTAGGGTGATTTTATAGTTATGCTACGAAGTGTATATGTTATCACGTTTCACGAACATTTTCAGCCTTCGCGTGCCGGAAACGGCAGCCTAACTAATCAATTCTTCAGAGTCAATCATTAAAAGTAATATCACTCTTTTCATCACTCTTTTACTATCCCTGTGTAAAAATAGGATCACCATGAGAAATAGTCCCCTTTCTGGGACAGATCAGACATGTAAATTCAAAACCATATTCGACGTGTATAATTTTATCAGTAAAAGTCAGTAATGAACTTCTCAAAAATTGATTTCAAATTTTACAAACTGTATTGCACAGTGTTTTACAGCAAAAAAACCCATTAAATGTTCATTCGTCCTGTTTTTTTCACATTCATGACTTCATTTGAACAGGAAAACATACATTAATATTTAAGGGGTGTTCCCACCCCGAAGAACCGAATATCAGCAAAATTGAAAAATTGCCCAACACTTCTATTAAAGTCCCCCACAAACCTGAGATGTTTAAAAAAAAAACATCGGAATTCTCAGGGCACCGAAGTTTCCCTGTCTGTTAGTGCCTTGTTGATCGGACGGTTCACATCACGGTGTACCAAGAATATCTGACGGCTGCGATGGTCTTATGACGGCTGGAGATAATTATATTTATATTCGTCGGTGGCCACGTGCTGCGGTACTCTTCGACGTTTCAAGGTGGAGGTATCAGGCCACTCAGGGACCCCGCGGGAGGTGCGTTCGCTGTCGCGCGCGCGCACCCAAGAAAAGCCAGTCCGCCCGTTGTATTTCCCTGCCATGCGGGAGAAACAGAGACGACGAGATCGAACGACGGCCAGTGCCTAGTTTACGAGCCACTAAAAATACGGGAACGAACGGCCTCGCCGCGATGCCGTCGACGACGACATTTTACTCTCCGGTGTTACTCACGGACACGTCTTCGCGAAGGGCGAGCCTGGTGAATTGGGGATGAAAAGGGCGCGATGGATTGAGCGAAATACGGAAAGGGAAGATTGTGAAGGTACAAGATGGATGACGTGGTTGGATAACATAGTACACTTAAAAAGACAGTAGAATGCGTCAGAGTAGTGATGGGTGATAAATTGAAATTAAATTATTACATTAAACAGAACTTAAATATTTTAGTTTTTAGAGTATCGATATATCGGAATATTTATAGCTTTGAATCCTAATATCCATATTTTGTATCGATTGTTAATATAACGATGTATTGTTGTATCGATACTTTATTGGTGAATATCGGAATTTGAACACGACTGTACAAAACTGTTCTCGTTTATTCGAGTGTACTGCATTTTTTTCAATTGAGACAATTCTACATTTGGTAGCGATAATGATAAATAGCAATTGACGCCACACTGATGCCATCGGAAGTTACACGATCACAATAGACGTTCGACACTATTTTATAGACATTTATTTAAGTTTCTTTTTAAGTATAGATTACAGATAATGAATTAAAAGTATTGATACTGACCATATCGATACTTCGCTTTTAATATTTTAGCCGTTTTTACTACCGATATGTATTGATATGAAATACCGATTCAATTGACATGTAGCGGACCACGGTTTATAACTATTTCACGAGTAAAGAATTAACGTGCAGAACACGTCCAAATAGACATCGTAGGACAATTACCAATTTAACATGGATATAGATACTTTTTAATCTGTGTTGACCGGTTTACTCGGTAGCCAGAGGCAATACCGATAGAAGATATCACGGTAGAAACTGTAGCCAAGACGTTATTACAAGGGTGGACTAGCAGTTTCGAGATTCCTACACGAATCACAACTGACCAGGGCCGTCAATTTGAATCTTTTATGTTTAAAGAATTGACAATGTTTATCGACTCACAGCACATAAGGACCACAGCCTTCCACCCCGTTGCTCAGTATTTATATACTAGATTCCGTCGTGTTTGGCGATAACCGTAGCCTTTTAGTTACTGCGTGAGAAAGTCGCCTTTACTGATTCAT